TCTGCTTTCCTTTAATAATTTTACTCATCATTTGGTATTATGTCACTAGTAAATTATTATTCCAAACTCAGACCATTCTGTACACTGATATTATGGATTTATTCCCAAACCCTCACAACATTGTCTTATGCAATTCAACATGGAGTCTTCATGGTAACTACTATGCACCCTTATTGTACACCAATATCTGTCTTGTTTGATCAACATACTATAGGCAATAATGTAGCCAATGTAACTGGAATCACATGGCAGTAGTCAGCTGTCTACTCTGTAATAGTATGTACATGTAATTTTGTCAATATATGATACTTTTCAGGCTAACCTCCGAACAAAAATAACTCATTCAGTACAGACTAACCTAAGTAACATGCGAAGAGATAATGTCTCTCAAGTCTATTTACCAAAGTAAGTACAGTTGACTTTCTTAATACTGCACTATATCTACTAACTAGTGAATTACTTTATAAATACAGTATGTTTAAAAAAATTGTTTTTAGTAAAAAAAGTTATTTCAACCCTCCAAAAAACAGACAATTTACACATTCAGTGGACCTCAGTCATATTTGTTTATTTTGTGACAATAACTCAATAATTCAATTCTCCTATTTGAGTAAATATTTTTGTAATTTTTTGCATAAAAATGTTATTTTCGACTTCTTCTTCTAAACAACTAGCTAGACTTTTGATATTTTATATGTAGTGACCTTGGATGGACCCGAGTCAGATTTGTTCATTTTGTGACAATACGCTAATTTTAGTGAATATTTTTTGTTAAAAATGCTATTTTCAAGTTTCTTAACTACCGGTATACAGCTGAACTATATCTGAAGACAAGCTGCTATTTTTAAATATTTGTCTTTATCACGAAAATGTCATTGGTTAATTGTTACTGGTGCATGTCAACTGTAGAACTGCTTGCCAGTTACTTACACTTAAAGGTGCTATACCACCATACATATTTTTATGGGGTGTGCATCTAGTCGAGCATGGACGCCAATTGGTTAATTATGGTACATTTTTTTGTACTTGTGCTGACAATAGGACTAATTAATTAAATCTAATTAACCTAATATCAACATTTTCTCCATTTAATCATAGGGATCAAGAATCTCAGACTAAACGTGATGGCGGTAGCAACGTGCCTAAACCACAGACGTTCTTAGCTGGATTACGTGGCGGTGGATTCCAAACTAGACCTACTATCATGACTAAAGTCGATCTCACTGTTGATGTGGACCAAACATAACTGCACTCCCGGCATGCAAATATTGTAAATTCAATGTTACTGTGTAAATTGTTTTTTATTAAAGTATGTGATGATAAGTTCAATGTCACTAGTTCAATTAGTTTTAGTCTATAATCTTTGCTCGTTCCAAAGTTGTTATCCCATTCCTTAAGCCTAAAGATGGTAAATAATCATTCAAGTATCGGTCAAACACAGACCATTCATTAGATTGAACAATTACAATCACTACTTTGATATACACAAGGATACTGAATTGTCAAAGTTTTCACTCTGTGTATTACTCATATTGGATGAAATGATAAGATTGAATTTATTTACAATATACGTTTAAAACTACATATTAATTAACCATGGGGTGTCTGTTACATAGCGTTACTTTTGTGTGTTAATTAGTCTTTTCAACCATTGTGCCTAGGCAAGTGGAGTGAAGTATAACTGGTATGGTTAAAATGAGCATGGACTCTAGACTATAGTACTTTCGAATTATTATTTCTAACAATTTTTTCTTGTACATATTACTGTTTTAAAATTGTAATTTCTGTACGAATTGTGAGTGAAATTAAACTGATTGTTCTCCCTTGTATCAACATTTGTGTTTTCATATGTACATGCTGTGAAGTGTCTTCTTTTATTCAGTCTATAACAGATCATGTTAATCCTAAGTTCCTTTATGTTTGACAAATAACCAATATTTCCCTCAAAGATGGTCTTCATTGATTGTAATTCGATTTAATTCCCTGTAAAAGGTAATGTACGTTGGTTTCTATATTAAGGTAGTTCACTAACAACATCACATAGACACATAGAACAAAATTGATCATTCAAAAATGTTTGTGTACAATGATTCACATACATGCAGGTCATTCATATTTAAAGTTTTTATGGGAAAGAAGGATGTGTTTTCAAGAAAACATGCAAAATAATCAAAAAAGCAGTCATTTTTAAAATCTTCTGACGCCATATAGGATTGACAAGCTCCAAAACACCACAAGCATACAATAAGCAGGCAGTAAATAGGTATGAGTTGTAATAGTTGCTAGTACTGTCATAAACGTATCCTAAAATCAAGGAAATGTCAGTGTATGACAATATACATTGTAATGATAGTAAAGACATAAGTTATTAGAACTTCATAACTTTTGCATACTTTATTAGCTCTATTATTAACACATGTATAAATAAATCGCTTCAGTATTTTTCCAGTATAATCAAAACATACATATGATACTATCTTTTACAATACATCAAAAGTTTTAAATTAAAATTCGTAATTAAGAAGTTGAAAGTACTTAAGGATGTGCACAATTCCACATACAGTATCTTAAATTTCATATTGAGCTTGGACTAACTTTATTTCGATATTGTACTATATCTTAGGAAATACAAATTCCAAAGGATTAGATCGATAACACAATATTTCGAAGACAGACATGTAATGCTGTGTTCATGCAATGTAAATCTGTACAATAACCATTTACACTTTATGTAACATACATAAGGACCCACCTGCAACAGGTGGTCCAATCAATCCGGCGAAACCGAGACCCATATTACAACACCCCAACAAAATCGTTGACAGTAACCACAACAAGGGAATGCTGCACTCCATTACAAAAACAGAATAAGCTGTACAATATTGCTAAGCTTAAAAAAGTTGTATATATAACTAGTTCACAAGCAATAAGTGCCAGACCTGCTGCCTGCCATGACATATAACTTTTACAGCCTATAAACATTCCATGAGATGCTCTTCCAATTACATTTGCATTTTCCCAAGCACTTAACAAAATAGGAGGCAACCGATAAGGTATTCCGTAAGAAATGGAATGTGGCACTAAACAAAGAACGATTGAATAAAATCCCAGGCCAATAATAAAAAATAATTGACATGTGTAAAAAGAAAAGTGGATCGCGAAAAAGCTTCTGATTAAATATTCCAGCCAGAAATTGACAACATTTGTTATTTTTCTGCATGTTGTATGTCTAGTTTCTTGGTGGTATTCGTCAGCATCACTTCTCATATGTTGCATCAGGAGATCGATCATATGAAGCAGATGGTCATATTTGTCACTGTTCATAACTCTGACGTCTGATACAGAAACCATTTCTTGGCAGCTTAAACACACATGCACAAACACAAACATTTGACGTCACTGCAGCCAAAATCAGTATGGATCCTCTCCATCCAAATACTAGTATTCCTGTTTGATAAAGTGGTGGTAACGCAATCCATCCTATTCCTACTCCAGTAAAGATAATCCCATTAGCAAGGGCATAGTATTTCTTAGCTGGAGGTAATCGCCATGGTCGGTGTCATAGACAGAAAAATACTGTATATATACTATTGTATATCACTGAATTAGTTATGCAGGCCCTGGCCACATTTTACTTACCTGAAATAACTCCATATGTCAAATACAGATGAATGAACTGGTATACTGCATTAGTTATGCAGGCCCTGGCCACATTTTACTTACCTGAAATAATTCCATATGTCAAATACAGATGAATGAACTGGTATACTGCATTAGTTATGCAGGCCCTGGCCACATTTTACTTACCTGAAATAATTCCATATGTCAAATACAGATGAATGAACTGGTATACTGCATTAGTTATGCAGGCCCTGACCACATTTTACTTACCTGAAATAATTCCATATGTCAAATACAGATGAATGAACTGGTATACTGCATTAGTTATGCAGGCCCGGGCCACATTTTACTTACCTGAAATAATTCCATATGTCAAATACAGATGAA